GCAGTTTCTTCAATGATTACACAGGGCGCGGGCCTGATGCTCTCAAACGGATCACGGGCGTGATCACACGAGTCACGCGCAGTGTTATGACGAATGGTTCAGGTTCTGGAGGGGCAAACATGCAAATTCAAAAAACATAAGCGTCATCGGTTTAAGAACTGCAGATCAGCAGGTCACGCTTCGCGTTCGGAGCACACGCGGGATCACACGCAGTCGCTGCGTGCCACTTGGTTGATACTCACAGATTCGTCAGAACACTGCCAGTGTTCTGACGAACCCGTGAGTACCAACCAAGGTTGCCGTTTGACTTCGGATCAGCGCGTGGCGGCGAGGCCTCGGGACGCGCCTGATGTCACCGCCATCAACGTCATATGTACCACGCTTTTACCGCTCTCTCTCTCCCTCGCACAAACACACACACACGAACACACGCATGTACACACAAACACACACACACACACAAACTAACACGCACACACACACGCACACACACGCACGCACACACTCACGCACGCACACACACACACAGACACAGACACACACACACACACAAACACACACACACACACACTCACACACATACACACATACATACACACACACACACACACGCACGCACGCACGCACGCACGCGCACGGACGGACGCACACACACACACACACACACACACACACGTGCAGGCGCCCCAGAGCGCCCCAAGTGGACCCCAAGAGGCGCCGAATACGGTCCAAAAGGGGGCTCCGAATCGTCGAAAGATCCGCCCGAGACAGCCAAGATGGTTTCCAGACAGCCCACGAGGCCTAAACGACGCCCCAAGAGGCCTCCAATAGGCTTCCCAAAAGAGCCCTACGTGGCGAAAATCATGAACGCTCCATTGGTTCTTGATGAACCTTGGCGTTCTCGCCTTTTCAGCTTCCCGACGCTGCAAGACGGCCCAGGAGGCCCCCAGGACCGCCCCGGGCCGGCCATGGAGGTTTCCAAGAGAGCCCCAGAACGGCCCAGGAGGACCCCACGACTGCCCAAGAGGCCCCCAAGACAGCCCACGAGGACCCCCCCCCAACACAGCTCCAAGAGAGGGCCCGGACGGCCATTTCGAGCTCTTCGCCCGACGAGGCCCCTGGGGGGGCCCCGAGAGCCCCCGAGAGGCGCAGGAGAGGCCTCCAAGAGGCCCCCCAGAGCGAAGCGACTTGATTACCACGCCATTGTACCGCTACCTCGCAACACACTTTTTTTGATCCGCGGGTCGAGAGCGCACCTCTTCCGGTCGAAGCTAAGCGGGCCGCGCGAAGCTTGAATCAGGCAGAGAAGAGGAGGGGAGGAGAAAGCGGCGGGGCCTCAGGGCGAGGCCGAGGGGAGGCAAGTCTCGCAACACACACACACACACACACACACACACACGCGCGAATTTGGTCGTGGTGTTGAGGATGCCACGTGCGAGGCCCTGGCGCTGCCGCGAGCAACTGCACGGCGGAGCAGCGTGCGACCGCAACGCTGGCAGGTGCACGGTGCGAGCACGGCAGCGGCTGCAGCGCTGCTAGTGGCAACGACGCCGGCGATGGTGCCGGCCACGATCATGAACCTGACGATCAGGTAAGCGACGAGTCAGAAGTCGACTTCGACGGGTCGGGTGATCAGACGGACGAACCGATCAACCCCTGCCCCAACTAGAGCTCCGGCTGCGGCTCCTCTTCCTCTTCATCCTGCTCATCCGCGGGCTCTTCTGCAAACTCCCCCTCCAATGTACATAGCTCCCCGTTTGTGATTGCGCATGACACAATGGGGTCCTTTGGGGAGTTCCAAGTCCGCTACGACACACGTCGGCGGATAGTGACTACTTGCCAGACCACCCAACCCGACCCGAAGATCCGAATTTCGGGTTTCAGGGGGTATGGGTTCCATATGTGTTTTTGTTCAGTGTTCCCCGACCCCCCCACCCACTGGAAATGGAGGGCAAATTGAAGCCTTCGGGTTGGGTTGGGGTGGTCTGGTGAGTGGTGAAAGACTCGCTGTGCGATGCTGAATTTCGATTCGCTGCGGCGGATCTCTGGGCTTCGCGAGGAGAGACCGGAGGTTCGGGAAGACCCCAACCCGACGCCCCCCCCCAACTGGAAAGGGAGGGCAAATTGGGGCCTTCGGATTGCGTTGGGGTGGTCTGGCGGGTGGTGAGCGATTCGCTCTACGATGCTGTGTTTTTGTTCGCCACGGCGGATCTCAGGGCGTCGCGGGGAGAACGGTAGGAGACAGAAACGGGTTCGGCCTCCCGTGGCACCCGGTCTTTGGGCGGCAGGAAAGCTTGCACACCCACCTGCCACCACCACCACCACCTCTTCCTCCTCCTCCTCCTCCTCCTCCTCCTCCTCCTCCTCCTCCTCCTCCTCCTCCTCCCCTTCCTCCACCTCTCCAGCCACGAGCAGAGGGTGGCGGGTGGTGAGATAGAGAACACACCCGCGCAGTGGGAAGGGATGGGCGGGCGGGAAAGGATGTCAGATGTGGCGCAGGCGCAGCCCGCCTGCCCCCGCCCCCCCCCTCCCCTCCCCCCCCCATCCCCCCCCCCCCACCCCCCCATCCCCACCTCCTCTCCTCCTCTCCTCCTCCTCCTCCTCCTCCCCTCCTCCTCCTCCTCCTCCTCCTCCTCCTCCTCCTCCTCCCCCTCCCCACGCTCAAAGTTGACAGCTCTCGCGCCGCGTAGCGCTGCAGGCGAGGAGCACTGGCACTACAGGCCGCCTTGGAAAGAGGGGAGAGGGGGGGGAACGCCACGGCCACGCTCGACAAACTAAGGGTCGGGGGTGTGGTGGGACTTCTGAGTGCGGCAGCGCCACCGCGGCTGCGTCGGTCACGCCAAAGTAACTGGCCGCTGCGCGCGCGTGCATGCGCGGACTGTCGCGGCCGCACAGATGCACCAGCCAGCGCCAAGCATTCATCGCAATCGCCGCCGCATGGGGTTTGCAAACCAAGTTGCGGGTGGGTGGGTTGGATGTTTTCGTGAGCAGTAGAATGGACAACTTCATATTGAGCACTGGTATATTGCACCTCATTTATTACCCAACATAGATCGTTCCGCATGTGTTGCACAACGCGGACTCCTCCGCAACTATTACATCACAAAGACTGCACAACACACATTGCGCCACATATATTGCACCATGTCGACTGCACCGCATAGACTACACCACATAGATTCTCCTTTCTAAAAAGAGAATAGACTCTACCCCCCCCCCCCCGGACTGATCAGCTCCCCCTGGGATAGCATACTATATATATATATATATATATATATATATATATATATATATTGCACACTCGCCCATCCTAAATATGAGAGCACACCATCCCAGGCAGGCCGCTTCCCCCTTCCCCTGAGGGTCCCTGATAAAAACAACACTATGCGGTGACATTTGTTGTTCTAGCATATCACTGTTTCACGAACCCCTGCAAAAAATGACACAAAATGCACACGCGCGCGTCGTCGCGCGCGCATGCCGAAATCCTTCAAAACCTTCGGCGCCGGAGGGATTTCGCAATCGAGCTTCCAAAAACAAACATACAAAAACACATCGTTTCGCAACACTGCTTTGCAAAAAAAGCTTCCGCGCGAGCTCTTGCGAAATCTTAAGAACACCATCGGTTTTTCAAGATTTGTACAAAATTCTACCAAACGGGCTTCGCGCGCGCGCATGTCGAAATCTGTCGAACGCCCTTGCGCGTGTGCCATCGCGAGAATCCTCTGCAAAAAATGGGACGAAGTGCAGACGCGCGCGTGGTCGCGCGTGCACGCCGGAATCCTTCAAAACCAATCGGTTCCGGAAGGATTTCGAAATCGCGCGTCCGAAAAACCTACAAAAACCCAAGGTTTCGCAACACGGATTTTCAACAAAAGCGTGCGCGCGCGCTCTTGCGTCGTCGTCGTCGTCGTCGTCGTCGCCGTCCTCCCTCCTCCCGCGTCGTTGTCGTCGTCGTCGTCGCCTACGTCGTCCTCTGTCATTCCTCGTGTTCGTCGTCGTCGTCCTCTTTGGCGTCGTGGTCGTTTCCGTCGTCGTTGTCGCCGTTGTCGTCCTTCCTCCTCCTCCCGCGTCGTCGTCGTCGTCCGTCGTCGGCGTCTCGTCGTCGCCCCTCCTATTTCGTCGCCGTCGTCATCGTCGTCGTCGTTGTCGTCGTCGTCTTCCCTCCTCCCTCGTCGTTGCCGTCGTCGGCGTCGCCGTCCTTCCTCCTTCTTCGTCGTTCGCGTCGTCGCCGTCCTCCCTCCTCCCTCGTCGTTGTCGTCGTTGTCGCTGTTGTCGCCGTCGTCGACCTCCCTCCTCCCTCGTCGTCTTCGTTTGCGACGTCGTCGTCGTCTTCGTCGTCGTCGGCGTCGGCGTCATCGTCGTCTTCGTCGTCGTTGTCGGCGTCGTCGTCGTAGCCGCCGTCGTCGTCGTCGTCGTCGTCGGCGTCGTTGACGTCGTCGTCGTCGTCGTCGGCGTCGTTGACGTCGTCGTCGTCGTCGGCGTCGTCGTTGTCGTCGGTTCGATTCGATTCGCGGGGCCATGAAGGCGACTCCAGGCGAGCAGCCTACTCGCCCGAGCTCACGCCGCCAGGGCGTGGGCCGCGGCCGCGCCGCGGGCGGACGCAGCGGACATCCGCGGCGGCGTAGGCGGGCAGCACCTGCACGGCGAGGCCCTGCAAGTCCAGGCCGAACGCGGCCAGCTCGGCGGCCCGCGGGGCGCTGCCCGCCGTCCTTTGCTGCACTGCTGCCGTCGGCCTCGCCGTTGGCCCGCGCACGCAGCCGCCTGGACGAAGCGGCGCTGCTGCCGCTGAGCTGCCACCTGCCGCCGAGGGCGCCTCTTCTCCCTCGAAGCCCAGCCGGGCCAGGGAGGCCTCTTGGCCAGCTGGGGGTAGCGGCCCCTGCAGCCTCCGCGCGGGGGTTCCAGCACCATCCCCCCTGCGCTGCTGATCGCCTCCGCGTGGTCGCCCACTAGGGTGCAGCTCGGGCCCAGGGGCAGCGCTGGCTGCACCGCCCGACGGCCGTCACGCCGATGCACGGCTCCTTGAACTTTGGGCGGCCTCCAGCTTGGCCATCGAGGACCATGCGGGCGCCGCGCTTGCCGCCCGCCACCGACTCCAGGGACTCCCCGCCTACGTCGCAGCACGCGTGCACCAGGGGGTGGCATCGGCAGCGGGCGCCAGCCGTGGCGATGGAGAGGCCGACCGCGCTGGCCTCTGAGCGGACGCACACCACTCGCAGCTGCTGCGCCAACGGCCTGCATGGAGTGGGCGGCACGGTCCGCTCCTCCTGGTCGGCGACCCGCACCTGCCGCCTCTCGTCGGACTCGAGGAAGCTGTCACTGCCCTTCTCCGCGAAGTGCTGCCAGAAGACCGCCGCCTGGCCCACCCAGCGGGCCTGCTCCTGGGCGGAACCCGCCAAGGCGCAGTGCACGCCCAAGGTCAGGGCGTCCTCGGCGCGGAGCTGTGCTTCCAGCTTGGCGAGGCGGTCGGCGTGCAGGTTGCTGCGCCTCTGCGCATCCGTGAAGCGCCCGTCAAGCCCCGCCTGCCTGCCGCCGTGGGCTGCCACCTTGCACACCCTGGAGCTGCCAAGCTCGAAGGACGCGCTGCTCCTGCTCCAGCTCAGGCCCATCGCATAGGCCAGCCCCCTACGTGAGCACTCGGCCGTGCCGTGGCAGTCGATGTCGAACTCCTCGACTGCAGGGCCCGCGTAGTTCACCACCCAGACCGCGGCGTCCTCGCAGCCACGAGCCGATTGCTGCGGACGGAGGCCCCTCCCGGCGGTCCCGTAGACGCCCACGAAGAGGCTGCCGTCGTCGTCGCATTGAGCAAACGCCCAGCCCGCGCGCCCCAGGGCGCAGAACTGCAGGACGACCGACGAGCCGTCCACGTACAGCTTGCCATTGAGCTTGTCGGCAGGCGGCCTCCGTGTCAACCAGACCCCCACGGCGCCCGTGCGAGGCCCTAGGGAAGGCGGCGGCGCTGACAGCCAGCACCGAGCGAAGTCCTCCCCTGCTGCCTCCACAAGGGCGCGAATCCGCACAGCGCTTCTCCTCGACGCTGGCGAGACGGCGGCCCTCCGCTGGGCCGCAATCCTGGGGCGCCCGAACAACCTGCGCCAGAGGGTGCCCCGCGCGGCTCCGCAGCACCCGCAGAGGGCGCGGCCGCTTCCGCGGGCGACACGGGGCCTCGCCTGCGGCCAGAGCGCGCTGGAGAGCTCCTCTCGCGCTCGCCGCGCTTGCCTCCTGGCCCGATGAGCTCCTTGGGGGCATCCCGCAGGAAGGAAACAAACAAAGAGGCACTGGCCAGCGTTCGCATCTCATGCCGATCCGAGGCGAGCCTCGCCCCACGGCTGGCCTCAACGCCGGGCTCACGCGGCCCCACCAGCGCCAAGTCCAGCACGTCCACGGCGTCCGTGATGAGGCATCGCTCGGGCCTGAAATACCAGCCGATCCTGCCCAGGGCGAAGGCAGCTGCATCCACAGGGAAGCTGCAGTGAACCCAGGTCGCCGCTGCAGACGCCTGTCGCGAAGCCGCAGCCTCGAGCGCGCCCCTGAGCAGCGGCAGGGAGAGCTGACCCGAGTGCAGCACGAGCGGATCCTGGCCACAGCCGTTGCGGAGCTCTGCGCACCGCAGCCTGAGGCCGAGGGCCGCACCGCGGGGACGCCGCCCCGCGCAGAGGCTCGCGGTGACTCGCCCACCGCGTAAATCTCGGTCGGCCGCGCCAGTAACCGTCCGCCCACAAATCACACTGGAAGTAGGCCCAGCCTTGTGGACCAGGTCCTCGGCGAACATGCGGTGCTTGAAGTCCCCTGGCACACGCCCCTGAGCTCCCCGCGCCTGAAGGTCCTCACGGACAAGTACTCCGACGCCTCCTGAGCGGGCAGGGGCAGCATGTCCAGTGGGCGCCGCAGCATGCAAGCAGGCCGCGTAGCCCGTGCTGCGAGCTCGGCGGCGAGCATCCTCCAGCTGGCGGGGCCCAAGGGGCACCTCCTGGACCGTGACGAGGTGCGGGCGCATGCTCTCCCGCTCGATGTTGGCCTCGAGCACCTCCATGGCACGGTCCAATGTGTTGCCGTAGGGGTCCTGCTCGCCGAAGCCTGCACGGCGCCGCTCGGCGGCCCCCTCACCAGCTGGCACAGCACCGCCCACTCTCACCTCAAGGGCGGCTGGCGCGAGCCCCGCGGAGGCTCCACGACTCCCATGGGGCGGGGCAGACGGCTGCGACGTCGGAGGGCTGAATCCTCCCGCCGTCTGCCCGCGCGAGGCCGTCGGGGGGGCGCCGCGGCGGTCCCGACCGCACCTCGGCCCAGGAGCGAGGCCGCCTTGCCGCCGTGGCTCTCCTCGCGCCTGGTGCAAGGTCGGCCAGTCCGACGGCGGCGGCGGCGGCTCGGGTCCCCAGGCTGTCGCTGCAGCCGAGCGGCTAGGACCGACGAGGGCCCATAGGAGCGTAGCCCCCAGCAGTTGCCAGGGCAGCCAAGGCCTGGCCGTCCTCGTGCTCGTCCCTGGCATCCTCAAGGATCCCGCGCTCGGCCTGGCCTGGCTGGGGCCAAGCGCCGAACGCCGCGCCTGACTGCCCGCGGGCAGCAGCTGGCCCGTACGGCCCCACTGCTGGGCTCGCCCGCTGGGTGGGCGGGCCTGGCCGCACCTGCTGCCCTGCGGCCTCCGCTGGCGGCCGCGGCAACGCGGGGGCAGGGGCCCCGGCGGCTGGGGCGGGGGGGCCTCCCCCGTCGTCGACGGCGAGCCCGCCCCCGCCAAGGCCGTCGGCCCAGCGCGAGGCGGCGGCAGCAGGCGCAGCGGGGTGGAGCGTCTCCGAGATGGCGGCGCTCTGCGTGGTGATGATGTCCATGATCTCCAGAAGCCTGGGTGCGACGCCATCCGAGTTGCGGCCGAGCATCTCACCCAGCTGGTTGACCTGGGTGACGAGGCCCCCGACCGCGGTCTCCAGGGGCTGCTGGCCTCCGCACACCTCAATGGCCCGCTGGAGCGCCTGCTGGACTGTTTGAGCCTTCGACTCCTCGAGCCTGCCGAGCTGGCTGTCGAAGTCCACGACCGCGGACTCGGCCTCGGCCAGCTCCTCGTGCATGGCCGCAATCTTCCCCCTGAGGGACTCAGCCCGCTGCACGGCCTGCTCGCGCTTAGCCCTGGTTGCAGTGATCTGCTTCTCGACCTTCTGCATGGCGTTGGCGCCGCCGTGGAGGACGGCGTGGGGGGGCCTCCCGAGCCGCTGGGCCTCGCGGAGCTCGGCCTCGGCCCTCTCGGCCGAGTCCTCCGCTGCGAGGAGGGCCGCCTGGGCTTCTCGCTGGAAGGCCTCACTGGTCCCCTCCATGGCGACAGCCTCACGGAGGCTGGATACCTCGCGCCCCTCACGCCAAGGCGGCGGCTTGGCACCGCCCCGCGGCCGCCCACTGCTGTTGGGCGCGCTGCTCGGCACGGTGCTGGCGGCCGAGGCTGTCTTGGAGGCGTCACCTGCTCGGCGCGCTGCACGCTGGTGCGAACGCCCCCTGGGTTGCTGGACGAAGCCCTCCCCGTCGGCCTGGGGCTGGTGCACCGCGCGCAGGCGCTTCGCCCACGCTGGCGCCTCCTTCCCGCACGACTTGCAGGTCGCCCTCTTGTCACACCAGTTCCACTCCTTGCACTGGCAGACCCAGTACACCCTGCGCCTCCAGGTAGGTGGCGCTCCAGTCCCGTCGCCCGACATGGCTGCTGGCCCCGCGCGCTCCGCCTGGCCACGCTGCATCGAAGAAACGAAGCAAGAAGCTGGCCCAGGGCGCGGCGTCCCTCGCGCTCGACTGCGCCCGTCGTCATCGTCGTCGTCGTTGTCATCATCGTCGTCGTCGTCGTCGGCGTCGGCGTCGTCGTCGTCGGTGTCGTCGTCGTCGTCGTCGTCGTCGTCGTCGGTGTCGGCGTCGTCGAAGTCGTTGGAGACGTCGCCGGTGTCGTCGTAGTCGTTGTCGGCGGCGTCGTCGTCGTCGTTGTCGCTGTCGTCGTCGGCGTCGCTGTCGTTGGCAAGTGCCATTTGGTACCCACCGTCACGGTCTTAAGAGATCTTGCGAACCAAGTTGCGGGTGGGTGGGTGGGATGTTTGCGCAAGCAGTGGAGTGGTCAAGCGCGGTGCAGGGTAGTCAATTGCACAACATAGATAGCACCAAATTGCACCACATATATTGCTCCACGCCGGTTGCTAGAACACACACGGTTTGGGGTCCACGCTGGCTAAAAGTCTGTATGAACAGATCTCGCTCTCGTTCCCTCTCTCCCTCTCTCGCCCTCCTCGCTAACGCAACACGATTTTCGCCCAACTGGCTATGCTTCTCGCAAAAGGACCGTGCGGCAGAATTCCGATGCATAGTGTCATGGCTTCACACACGGTGCACTGAACCGACACATGCCGTAGACGGGGTGGTCAGTGGCCGGGGAGCGCACGAACAGTTGACAACGATTTGAAACAGCTGCCAGAAACAGCACTCTGCGCTCCGAGCGCATGGGTGGAACGCCCGCGCACGAACGAGGCGAGCTACTTCGTCAATCTGGCAGATCCTCAGACCTACAGTCCTGCTCAAGTATGACGAACCAACAACACACACACCCATACCCATAGGGGGGATCGGAGAGGGCTATGGGTGCGTGTTGTCGGATGGGGGTCCCCGCTCGAACGGGAGCGTTACCCAGGGTCCGACAACCCGCACCCATACCCATAGCCAGTCCTCCTCCCAACGACCTCCCTGTGGGTATGGGGGTGTGCTGCTCGTTCGTCGAAATATACACGTCAGCGTCCTAAATGTGGCCGCGAGGTCGGCTCCCCGTGGCGCTCCTCCAGAGCCTCCGGGCACTGCCCCTGCTCCACGGCTTGCCTTGCTGTGTCAGGCAAGCGTGCGCAGCCTGCGGAATCCAACCTTGTGGTTCGGGGGTGGTGTCGGGCTCCAGCGATTGCTATGTTTTCGGTGTTGACGCCTGTCAGGTCGGACGGACATCCTATTGCACTTCAGATTATCGATCGATCGATGTATATATATATATATATATATACATAGCGATAGGCGGTGCTGCGGACGAAACGTCGGAATAATAATGACCCCTGAATCGAAATGAACCTGAGCAAGATCAATCAGGAATGAAGCGGAAACGGTACGCCGCAAGAGGTCGTCCATACATGTTTAGAACTGGCGGTTCCCGATATCACCCCAAATACCGTGCATGATATCCGTGGCAGCCAAGGCAAGACTCGTGCAACCCACACCCGAGCTGTCAAACCAGGTGTGTTCAGCTTGACTGGCGATGTACTGTTATCTGTCGGTTCATCCTCACTCCTCCTCGTCTTCCTCCTCCTCCTCGTCCTTCTCCTCGTCCTCCTCCTCCTCGTCCTCCTCCTCCTCCTCCTCGTACTCCTCTCTCTTCCTCTTTCCGAACACATTACACCTCCACACCTGTATGGCGTAACCGTTAGACGCCACATTGCAATCCGCAACGTCGTGGCCTGTCAAGGCTCGCGCGCGAAGCGGCCGCGCGACACGGTGGCCACCTCCATCCTCCATTCTCAAGAGGAGAAGGAAGAGAACGACCAGAAGGAGGAGGAAGAGGAGGAGGAAACGGAAGCGGATGCAGGACGAGGGGGAAATAGAAAGAGCGAGCAGGGGGAGGAAGAGGAGGAGAAGGAGAAAAGGGGTGAAGGAGAGGAGGACAGAGAAGGGAGAAGGAGGAGGAGGAGGAGCGCACGCCCCTCTGCGGAGACGGTTCGTTGCCTGGGTGCCGCCGCGCCGCCGCGCATGCACGGCCCCGGCCTCAGCGCGGCGCGGGCGGCCATGGAGGCTCGAATGTTCTGCTCGTGGCAGCTCAAGCTGATGCGGTGGGTGCCGTCGGGCACGGGGAGGGGGCGCAGCACGTGGACGGAGCTGCTCCGAACCGTGGCGGGGGCGCACCTCGAGCGGTCGGTGTTCAGCAGCAGCCCCGGCACACCACGGCGAGGCGACAAACATAATTGAACATGTTGCTTGCATCAGACGTGCCGTAGCCACGTGCTCCCAAGCCCATGCGCGCCAGCAGGTCGGGCGCCAGAATGCAACGAGGCAGCGCGACGCGGTGCCAGGCTCGGCGGACAGTCATGTAGTGGGCATGGTGGTCAGCATCTGTGAGGTAGCCGAAGATGCAGAGGCGCTTCAGCGGCTGCACGTGCATCCTGAACGTAGTTGGTCACCCTCCCGCGTGAGTCTCTACTGTGGGCCAAAGCCGCGATGGTGTACACCTTGGCGATGGTGGAGCGAGCATTGACCCTTCGGATCGTGAGCGAAAGCTGGAGCATGGACGCGAGGTCGTCGCACTCCTCGTCGTCCCACCATCGGTTGACTTCCATCGGAAGAGTCGTGTCGTTGTCGTCGTTGATCTCGTCAGGGGGTCGGATCAGCTGGCGTCGGGCATGACACTCAGCACTCGCACTTTCCAGTATTTGGTAAACGTCCACTGGCATGCGCAGCCGTTGGAAAAGCTGGGCCCGCCGCTGTCTGGAGCTGTCACCGCCGCGCCAAGCGTCTCGTTGCTTCGACCCAAGTCTCCGAAGAAGAAGTCGTCACCACATGGTGCAATATGCTGCATGATAGCCTTTGAGGATTCGAAATACGCATGCTTCGCGCCATTCCTTCCGGTCGCGGCGTCGGTCCATCACCGGGCCGTTCAGGCACACGTCGCGGGCCCGGTCGTCGGCGCAGCGGGCGAGCACCTCTGCCAGAGTGCGAAGCTGTTAGAGCGCACGACGGGAGTCGTCGATGGCGCGGTCAAGAGCGGAGGCGTCTGGAGCTTGAGGCGGGAGGTCAAGAAAGTCGGCACCATGCCCGGGGGCCCTCCAGGACGGTTGGGCCGAAATTCCAAAGTAGAGGCTAGGCCGGAGCTCGGACGTGCACGCGGCCTGGTGTCACCAACTGATGCTGGAGTTGTCGAACGCATTCGCGTCGTGGGCGGTGATCCTCACTGCTGACGCTGCGGTCGTTCGGCCAGGCTGTCCTGCCCGTTTGCCCCGACGCTGCCGGCTTGCCTTGCGGGCCAGCTCTGCGGCGGGCGATTGTGAGGCGTCGCGCCGAGCTTCGGCAATCCCCCCGCAGTCGGCGGGCGCGTTTCCAGATGGAGCCATCGCCCGCGGCATAAGACCCACCGTCGATTGCAGCCTGGAAGCGCCGGCTAATAGAGAGAGGGTCGACGCAGCAATCGGCGCGCC